CCCTCCACTACAAAGATTGTACATCATCCTACACCCCTCCCTTAACCACAGTGTCTCATCTATGTATTTTTTCTGACAGTGTATTCAGTACAATATGTAGCAGCTGCATTCTTTCTGTAACTGTAATGATTTCTGGATATAAAAATTCCCAAACTGTTAATTAGTAGTTTGATGCAAGGTAAATTTACTTTTATTTATTTATATTTTTAAAATGTTTTTAATTTCAGAGAGAGGAAGGGAGAAGGACAGAGAGATAGAAACATCAACGATGAGAGAGAGTCATTGACTAGATCGAGCCTGCAACCTGGGCCTGGGCCCTGATGGAGAATCAAACAGCAACCTCCTGGTTCATAGGTTGATGCTCAACCACTGAGCCATGCAAGCCAGGCAATATAAATTTACTTTTAGACTTTTCTTCCATTTCTCAAAATGTGGGTCAACAATTATTAACATTATTAATATTTAGCCCTGGCCAGGTAGTTCAGTTGGCTAGAGTGTCGTCCCCATATGCCAAGGTTGTGAGTTCGATCCCCGGTCAGGGCACATACAAGAATCAACCAGTGAATCCAAAAATAAGTGGAACAGCAAATCAATGTTTTTTTCCTCTCTCTCTAAAATCAATAAATATATTTTAAAAAATTTAACTTAAAAAAAGATTATTAATATTTAGCTCATCACTCAGAGTCTTCTACCACTAGAGTGTCCCTATTAATAATCAATTATGTCCCTGTCAATAATCAATTACCCTATTTCTGCTTGTTTAAGATTGTTAAGGGAATTATGTCAGAGTGTCAATATATTCCAGAAAGGCCAATAAAAAATATTAAATCATTCTTACTCCTTCTTTTAAGAGTATTCTTTCAATATCCTATGAACACCAGGACTGCTAATGAAACAGCACATCACAAACACTAGGAACTGGGCTACCAGCATGTGGGCCTGATTGGGGGGAATAGCTTAGGGCACCTATTACTGCAGTGTAGCTCAGAACACCTGCTTCACAGTCACCCAAAGAACTGCTAGAAAAACTAGGTTTTCTTAGGCCCCCATCAAGACATATAGACTGTGGGGAATAAGGTCAGGAATCTGTATTTTTAACAAACTCCCAAGTGATTTTATTGTACATTATGGCTGAAAAATACACGTAACTCACTCATCACAACAACCTACTTACATGGGCAGACAAGGAGACAAAAATTTGGGAATTTTCTAGAGTATTAAGAAATGTAATCAAAATTTCTAAGTAAAAGAAGCTCAATTATTTCATTGTACTGCAAAAAGAGATTCTTCTTTCTAGTTGTGGAATGTCAGGTGCCTGTGAGAACTACTAAAAAACAATTATCAATGTTAAAAAAAAAAAGCTCAAGTGATCTTTTAAAGAAACCCCAAAAACTTCCTCTTATTCCTTATAAATACTTGTCATATAGTAAAATTTAGTATGGTTAAGAGTAGGAAATACGTCCAATCAGTCCTAATTTTTTTGCCTCAGAGTTAACTGTCAACACCAAAAAGCTTAGTGCTACTTTCAGTCTTTGACATTAAATTCAAAGATACTTTCCTTGACTCTGCAGAATGTTGGTCTTGAAGTTAACAAGTGCCAAAATATCTTTTTATGATTACCTTAAGAATATCACTTAGATTTTAACGCATATTATTTTGATGCAATAAATTTTATTAAGATGAGAATGTTTTCTCAATCATTTTAGGAGTTACTGGATATATTAACTTTGAATATTTAAATTTATAAAACCCTATTTCATGATTGTGTTAATTATTGTTCCCTGGGAGGCAATGTTGCCAATTAAAAACAACAAAGTCTCTCAAATAAGAAGGTCCTGAATATCAATCTAGAAGCATCACTTACTACCTGTGTAACCTTGGGCAAGTTATTTAACCTCTCTAAGCCTCTACTGCTTATTGGGAAGATTAAACTTATAATATACATAAAGCACTCAGTGCCTGGTACCTGTTAGTCCTCAGTAAACGTTAGCCCATATAAACATATATCAAATAATCTCTGAAAAGGCACACAAGAATTTTATCTATGACAGTCACTTCCAAGCAAAGAACTGAAGGTCAGGGTGGAAAAACTACACCTTCTTGTACTCTTTGTATTTTTATCCAGTGCTTATAACTTATTTTTTTAAATGTTTACATTTATCTCTTGTACTATGGGATTTCTTAGTGTTTAGCATAATGCAGTGCGAAAGTGAAACTGCCATTGCTGAATTCACAAAGGAATAAAGTCATAGTCTAATAATATCCACAAAGAAATACACAACCTATCTGATTTCAGGAATCTGTTAGGTGTTCTTACTTCCTTTACAATAGCTGGATGGTCTCAACTAAAACACCTTAAACCAGTGATTTTTCAACCTGGGATGATTCTGTCCCCTCAGGGACATCTGGCAACAGAGATACTGTTGGCTGTCACAACTGAGGGGGTGTACTACTTGGCATCTGATAGAGGCCAAGAATGCTGCTAAACATTCTATTATGCACAGGATAGGACCACACAACAATAATCCACCCAAAAAGTCAGTAGAGCTGAGGTGAGAAACTCTGCAACCCAAGGAATCATTCTGTTCAATTCTTAAAGTAACCAGGTTCTTCATTTCAGTTACCTACAAAACAAAACACACACAATAAATTCTCCCCTCAAGTAATGAAGTAAAATCTAAGGACTAGCAGACTAGGGACTCAATAAATGTAACCATTGTTGGCCACTGCCCTAAGTCTCTGAAATTCTAGCAGCTAGAATGGCTTACAGGTTTGTATGTCTACTAAATTCAATACATTTCAAGATTTCTAAAGCACTTACTATAATGCCTTCCAAAAGTGCACTCTAAAGGATTTCAAGAGATTACAGATTACCATTCTTTCCTGTTTTTAAATGATATCTGAAGAACCACAAAACTCAAACAATGTACTACTAAAATACAACAGGACCTTTATTTTAGTATGTAGTTATCCAGTCATTCCAATAAACTTGATATTTTTACATTTCACTTAATGCACTGCCTTGGCCTCTATTTTGTACATTTTGAGCATGTTAATTAAAATCCCTCGAAAATTTAAGAAATTAAGAACAGTCCATTGTTTCTGACCAAGAAGGCAAGAAAAGCATCTAAGTAATTTCATAATGAGGCTTGAAAAATTACAAACTAAATCATCCTCTCCTCTGATCTTAAAGCATATTTTAGTGTGCCTTACCAAAATGTCAACCACTAATAAAGACCTTTGGGAAATGTTTTATCAATATGTGGGATTAATCTTGTCAAAAAAGAGTGTAAAACTGAAGCAAGTGGCTATCAAAATTTAGAGCTAGTTCATAAGTGGGTAGGAAATAATTTGAAATATTGCTACCACTAACACTATTAGTCATACTTTACTTTCTCAGTAACTGTGTAACTCTTTTACACCTCTTAAAATGTGTATCTTTCTCACTATATGAGTTGTGAGCTATTTTAATACAAATTTAGTATTTTCATTTTAATAGTTTACTACATAAAAACTTACTGATTAAAGAATTCTTAGGGAGACAAACATCTTAATTCCTTTGTACAAAACAAAACAAAAAAATTACACAGAAAAGGTGTTTGAAAATATAAGATGCAGTAAGGTTATTATTCTTTCGCTACTTTTCCAATACATTTTTCGTGATGGATATAAGTATCACTACAACTTCTCCATTCACTTCAAGCCACTCCCCCTGAGCATCTAGAACTTTAATACTTGTCCAAACCTGCTTGCTCATGATCTAATAATAAACCTAATTATACAATCTGTAACAGCGTCTGACAACCTTTCCCTAAGAAGCCATAAAGGTGATTTAACTAACACCTCAAATTCTCAAATCTAATTCAAAAACAGATTTCTTCATTCCAGTCAGTCTTTGGCTTCTGCCGGGGGCTAGGGGCTGCTGGCTGTACAGTGGGGAGGTGAAAAATCGCCCGAACGGAAAAGGACACACGCTGGGCGCTGGACAGCAGGAGTAACTGCTGGTTCATTTCTCTTTAAATCTGGCAGCACGTGGGGCGGCATTGTGAAGCCACCAGCCCGCCTCCCCCCTTACACTCCGCACACGTACGCCTCCAGTGCGCATGCTCCGCTCCTACGGTCCTAGCAGAGTAGGAGCCAACCCCCTAAAAAGTCAACCTGGAAGCCGCAAACGGCCGGAGGCCGGGACAATGGGGGAGGGGGGACGCAGGCACCTCCGTGGAGGCAGACCCGGCCGCCGCCCCAAGCTAGAGCCCGCGGGCCGCAGCCCCGTGGTTCTGCAGGCCTGCGCCAGAGCCAGAATCGCTCCGAGCACAAAGCCCCGAGCCGGCCAGCGAGCGGCTCGCCGCCGGGCCAGCTCCTACCCTCCCCCAGCCCGGCGGCGCAGCCGGAGCCCGTGCCAGGCAGAGGCAGGCGAGGCGGCGTCCCGCACGCCGCCAGGTTCTCAGACCCCCCGCGCGCCAGCGATGAGGCCACGGAGGCCGGCGCTTTGTTGTCTCCCGCAACTCCGCGGACGCGGCGCTGCCCGGGCAGAAGTTTTGCGCGCCTCACCTATCCGGCCAGGGGGCCAGTTTCTTTGCCTACTCTCGCCACCCACTGCCCGCCCGCAGCTCAGACACCCCAGCCGGGGACTCGCAGCTGGGCGGGCCCAATCGCTCCTTTCGGCCCCCAAGGGTCCGGCGGCCTGGGCAGCACCTGAGCCCGGGACCCGCCCCTCCTGGGAGGGTCCGTCCGGGCCAGGGATCCACAGCCCCTCCCCCGCAACGTCCCACCCAGCAGTGGGGGAGGGGGCAGCCTCCCGGCCTTTCCACAGGGCGCCAGGCCCCGTCCGAGTGATGAGGCTGGGGCGCGTCCCCGCCCCCAATGCCCTCCGACAGCCCGGGAAGAAGTGCTGGGCAGGGCCAGGACCCGCGCCTCGGGCTCCCCNGAGGAGGAGGTAAGCCGCAGCGGCTCACCGCGATCTCGCGGCCCGGTGCCCCGCCGCCGGCCCGCTCGCTCACCTGCCAGCTGTCTTCGCAGTAGTAGTGCCGACTGCAGCTCCGTCATCCTCCCCGCCAAGGGCCCGGGCTGGCGCCGGGGCTTTCGAAGGGCCGAGGACAGGCTCTGGAGGCTGCTGAAGCCGGGGGTGCTGAGGAAACCGGGCCCCCACGACGGGAGCGCCGAAGCCAAGGGAGGCCGGACTGGGCGGCGGTAGCGGCGCCTCGCTGCCGGTGCGAGTGCGCTTGGTTCAGTTCTCCGCACAGCCTCACGCCCGGAAGGGGAGGGTACCCAGGCCGCGGCGCGCACTGGGATTTCGCTCGCCCGCGTCCCTCCTTCAGCCCGCCCGCCGCCCCACTGGTGCCTTCCCCCGCTACAGCCTCGCTGCGCGCAGGGCCGCTCCGCGCAGGCGCGCTGGGGTTGTCTACTTCTTGATCAGCCAGCCCGCAAGCCCTACCCCTCTGCCTCCCCGCCCCGCCTCTGCCGACAGGGCCCCGCCCCCCCGGTCGCCGCCATCTTGGGAAGGTCGACGCCCGGCTGAGTGCCAAGGCCTCAGGCGGTAGACGCCCCACGGACGCCATGACAAAGAGGTCACGGTGGGTCAAGACAGCTTGTGGTTGAAGCAGGTGCTGTGGGTGCGAAGGGACCAAAGGAAATGGTTGGTATGTCCAGCAGTCGTTTCACGCCACACGTGATGTGCGAGTTAATCACTGTTGAAGCCTAATTTAGTACTGGTGTGCCCCATTTGACGCAGACCCCCCCAAATAGACTTAACATGTTGATAATTCACAGAAAGAATGCGCGAAAAGATTCTTGAAATAAGCAAAATGTTTTGCATCTCATAGCACAAAATGTTTAAACATCATTAAAAATAATCTCTATGAGTAAGGGGTTGACATGAGCAAAATGTGATATATATTAAAAATGTGCATCTCTCAAAGACATCTGCTCTGTAAAATCAAGGTGTGGGATCTGGGGTTTGGAAAAAATCAACTTCGCTCTACCTGCTCATTCCCTCTGCCTTCTGCTTTGCAAAAAAACAGTCTCCATGCAGAGATGGAGCAGAAAGAAGAGTAATACCTCCTGGCACTGAAATTTATCTGTTTCTTCAACAAATATTTATAAAACCTGTATTAACTTTGTACCTGTACTATAGAAACAGAATTACAGCTCTGTCCCTACCATCAAAGGGCTCAAAGTCTCTGTGAGTTCCCGGTAAGGTAAACAGCCAAAGAAGGAGCAGATTCCATTACAATTCTAATAAAAATTACTGGGGGGTGGG